TTCCCTGTGGCCCTTCGGTGTGTGGGGGGATTGTTCCATTGTCTACAGATGGGCTTTGGGAAGACAGACCTTTTTTAATAGGTAAATTAAATATTGTTTGTTTTATGAAGACCTGAGAGGATATTTTTGGCATAAGATTTAAAGATTATCTCAGGAGCTCATTACAATTTTTATAGATATCCCCAGAACATGTGGATTCCATGAGAATTTAAAATTTTGTTCTGCATTTTCTCACTTTTGATCAAGGGTGTTCAATGCGATCTTAGATAAATATGTACCGCCCTGGTCATGGTAGAGGAGACTTACTTGTATAGGCAATCAGCTATTTCCTCCAGTTGTCCTGACTCTCTTTCTTCAGTTGTTCAAGTAAGTTCTCCTTAGTGCCACTTGTAAGCTTTAAAGACCTCAGAAGCTAGGAAGTAGAAAAGAAGCACTGCATAAATTATTAGGCCAATTAACTGGGATGCCTCTTGAAACCTTGCCCCCAAGCCTCCTAATCAAGAAACTGTGTCCCAGGATATGTTTTGCTGTATGGACATATGCAGTTTCAGAAACGACTCCATTCCCCCTCTTTTGGTCTTTGTTGCAAATACATCTATCACACAACTTTTGCCAGCTCACCTCTTTATAGTGTACAGTTTACCAGCAGCAATCAGAGTGATTGGCTGTTCCACCCTATCCTGAAACAATATGACTCTTTTCCATCATGCTTAACTACCCTCTTAGCCCAGTACTTCTGTTCCTCCTGTCCTTGGAACCACTAATCGATTTTCTGCCCTATACATTTGCTTTTTCTTGTCTTATTGCATAAGTGGACGCATAGAACATTTGTAATATTATTATTATGTTGTTTCAATCTGCAGAATGTCTTCTTGTTCTGTCCATAATGTAGCATGGACCCAAGCTTCATTTTGCCACCGCCTCAATAATATTCCTTTGTGTGTGTATATTACATTTGTCCATCCATTCATCTGCTGCCAATGTTCTTTTAAAATGCTCAGCTTAGTTAATCACTTTCAATACTATTCAGATGTCTGTTTTCTCAATGTTAAAGCCATCTTCAAGGCATAAGGCTGTTAAAGAGATTTATAACCAATTATTGAAGAAATGAAACAACTGTTTCTCATTGTCTGAAAATACTTCCTTAGGAAGAATTTCTGGTGTTTGGCTCATCACAATATTGAAATTGCTTACTTTTGAGAAGTCTTTTCTTATGGGGATGACAGTGCTTAGATCCAAGAGTTCTGGCATCTTTGTTTAAAAAGAAAAGAAGAAAAACAGTCACATTATTTAGTTTTATTCAAAAATACATTGTGGTGACATTGTGTCTTTCTAGGAATTTTCATCTAGCTAATCAATCTGGAGAAAAGAAATGATTCTTATTGTACATAGTTGATGAAATGGAAATAAATGTAATGAATCTCCAGAATGATGTGATATTTAGTGTCATAGCTAAATCTATATTTAATAAACCACCTCTTTACAATGTAAGTTTTCTGTCTTCTAATTGTCATTGTTACATAGTAAGTGAGTTAAAAGATGGGAGAATCTTGTAGGGTAGTCTTGCTTAACAGATGTAAGATGAAGACAGCTAGACTTGGCTCTGTTATGAAGTCTGTTTTTCTATATTCTATCTCAATGCTCACAGAGTGACAAACTTTAGTTTGGGGTAGTATCATATGGACTTGACCCTGGGTGTCGTGGTGACCAGTTATGCTGTGAACCACACGGTCAGCATTTTGAAACCACCAAGTACTCTGAGGGGCTTTCTGCTACCCTAAACATTTACAAACTTGCAACCTTGCAGGGGCAGATCCCCCCTGTCCTAGAAGCTCGCTGTGAGGCACCATTGGCTCGATGGCACTGAGTTTTGTGTTGGGTCTTGATATATGCGTGAAAAGGCTTGCTTACCTCTTTGAATCAGATCACATCCTCCCTTATTGAATATATACAGCTTGTGGGAAAATTCCATTATCTATTAATATTATTGTTCTACAAACCTTTTGAAGTCCCTATTTATATACCAAGTCCTCTTGTGTATAAACACACCAACATAGACACAAGAGCTTCAATTTTAGGAATTAAAAAAATAATGGAAAATGCCTACAAACTTTGCGAAGCCTCCTAATATGTGTGTGTGTATAAAATTTTGCTCAGATGAAACTAACAAGTATCCCACCACATTACCAGGGCTTCTTACAATCAAACGAAATAGAAAGAAATTGAAGTTGTCTAGGTGAGTGTCCAATGTGGGACCTGGGTGGCCTCAGCTAAACAGAATACTTCTAGCCTTTTCAAGTTGGTGCCTCGATTTGTAAACAAGCGGATTTAGAGGAGCAAACTGTCATCCACCATCACAGAGTTCATGTTTTAAAATAGTAATTATTTTTTGTAATAGGCTGTTGGGCAAAGTCAAAGGGAAAATACAGATCATGGTGACAGAAGGAAATCAATTTCAAGACTTGGGAGTCTTGCTTTTTGTTTTAATTAAAAAGAAGGAAAGGACAAATTATGTTACTGTTAAAGCTTCACAGAAGAAAGAGTAACTCCATTCAGAATTTCAAAATTTTCCACCCATATTTCCTTTGAAGTATTTTAGCTAATTTATATAGAAAACAATAAACCTGTTTTTTTAAATGATAATATTATAAGAGTTAGAAATTTTATCTGTAGTTTGTTTTCATTAAGTTAGTATTTGTTGAGAAGTATAGTGTAGATAATTCAACTAGGCTTAATGTAGAAGATGATAAAAATAAAAGAAGTTTTAATCTGTGGGTAGTAGTGGATACCCAATAGCCTACAGGACAAACTAAGCAAAAGAAAGGTCATTGCCGAATCTTGCTTGTTTATTCAGATATGTATTTAATACCGGAGGACAACATGCCTCTATTTAATGAGCAATTCATTTTATGAATACGGAGACCTCCATCTCCACAATGTAAGGCGTGCTGGCAAATACATGTGCTGTCTGATGCGGATTCTTCAAACCAAGACCCAGAGATCGCTGCAAACCAGCACGAAGGACAACTTTTATAACCATTCTATTTTAATTTAAAATGTCATTGACTTCTCAGAAGATAGAGAGGGATCAAAAAGGAGTTATGGGAAGTGGAGTATTCTGTTTAATTGGGACAAATATGAATGAGGCAGGAGATCAGGTATTTAGTTAGCTTTGGGTTGTCAAGGAAAAAATCATTTAAAAGCAAATTTTATTTGATTCTTATAAGAAGCATATTTTCACTCAAATGTGATCTTCACAAGTTAAAGACTCTTGCTCATTGTTTTCACTGTTTTATCCCTAATAATTAGATAAGAGTCTAGAACATAATAGTTATGGAATAAAGATTTATTGAATAAAGATGTATTAATTGAATGAATGAGACCAATTTAGTACAAGACACAACATGAAATGTTCCCTGTCCAAGTTTTCTATTCTTATTCTTCCCCTATTTTTCCCCTGATAATTAAATAGGATTCTTATCAGCACTAGTTTTGATTGGCATGGGCTTGTTTTAGAGATAGAGTTGCTACTTTGAGCCTGGAATGTCAGTTATTGGTAGAAGGAACTGGATCATTTGAGCTGAAAAAAAATTTCACTACAAATTCAATTAGCCATTCTCAAGGGCATTTGGAAGAAAGGTAGTAATCTAAGTTAGTATTTTTCAAAATGTGGTTTTAAACCATTTGCATCATAGTCACCTTAGTTTTTGAATGACGAAGTTCCAAGATCTGACATTACTTATTACTCCTTTTCCTTACCCCCTGCATCACTTGACTCGGCAATGTAGGAAAACCAAGTCTACAAGGCAGTTCAGCACCTCAGCTCATTGGATGAGGCACAGGAGTTTTTATACCATGACAGGTGGCATTATAAGGAGCAAGTTACCATGATCAGGAGCCTATGCATTCTTACAGGAGCTGTGGGAGCACAGTGGTCCCACATTGGACTCTTATTCCCAATCCGCAGTTTGAACCCGATAGAACCTTCTTGGGAGGAAGGTGAGACTCTCTCTTACTGTAAAGGGTCACAGTCTTAGAAACCCGCAGTCTCAGTTCATGCTTGTCCTGTAGCGTCGCTGTGAGTCAACCGGGACTCAGTGGCAGCGAGGTTTTTTGTTTTCATTTTTAGTGTGTGATTAAGCTAGGATCATGATTATTTGTGTGCACAAGGTGGTACCCTACAGGCTTTTTTCCTTTAGAACTACAGTTTAGTGAATGTTTTTTAATGTGATCTTCTCATTTTCTGGATGCAAACAGATATATGGAATTCAGAAGTTAAGTTCTTTTTACTGCAAATAATTTTGAGAATTACCTCATTTCATCTTACAATACCACGGGGTGATTTTTGATATCTAGATGTTTTCCTTCCTTCCTTCCTTCCTCCTTCCTTCCTTCCTTTATCTATGACTTCCTCCTTCCTGTTTGTTGGAGACATTCTCCTGCCCCTTTCCTCTCCCCTTCCCTTCTTCCCTTTCTCCATAGAGCTGTACTATTAAACAGTTACAGTCATGCTGATACTTTCACTTAAGCACAGTCACAGTTCCTTTGCTTCTAATAACCCACTGCCGTTGAGTTCCTTCTGACGCATCATGAGCCTCTATGACAGGGTAGAGCCACTCTGCAAGTGTCCGAGACTAGACAGTTTTACAAGAGCAGACAGCCTCAACTCCTTTGGAGTGGCTGGTGTTTTTGAACTCTCAACCTTGCCATTAGCAACCCAATGCTTAACAACCTGGGCCACTAGGGTACCTTTTTTGGGTAATACTTCAGTTATATCAATAAGATTTCAGTAACAGCGGGTCCATGATATTTCTATTCAAAGGTTTCAAAGTTAATACATTGTCAACCATTTGTAGAAATACATTTTTTCTTGTGAATTTGGTGATGTTATTTATAACTTAGGGATTCTCTAAAATTACAAATTTGGGGGGGACTTTATTTTATTGCCTTTTCATTTCTTCCTGCTCGGCTGAATCTAACGAGCCTTCTCTGGCTTCCAGGTGACCTACAAGCGAGATCTGTATGCGGCGGAAGCAGTTATTAAGGGTATGTCTATTTCCGTGTCTCCCAAATGTAAGCCAGTTCCGAATTTCTCATGACATTTCACAGTCCAGAAATCTCAGAAGTACGAATGCCTGCAGCTCATGGAGGTGTGAGGTCTGTTTTTTGGTGAAATAATATTGTATTTCTGTTTCCTGTCTATGAAATATCATTTTTGATGATTTATAATAGATGTCACATAGATTTTAATTTTTATAAAGGAAATACTGTGAAACAGCCATATAGATTAGTCTATGAAAAAAATCATGGAATAATGACACAATGAGGAGGGAAACATAATGAAAACTATCTTTTAATAAATTTATAAAAGTGTTATATAATTTCATTTTTACTGTTAAGAGGGCTGCACCCTCCCCTGCTTGCCTTTAACACTATCATGCCAAAAAAATTATCTTTGATGTGGGAAGATGCATTTTTACCAAAATGAAAGAAATTATATTGGGTCATTTTCTTAACGTTTGTTTATTTCCTTTTGTAATTTAATTTGCATTGTGAGAACACTTTTCTTGTTCTTTTTCATCTCCTTGACTCTCAGATCTCAGTTATCCAGAGATAGTGTGTTGTTGTGCTTAACGTTGTGTTAGGAATGAAGGTGCTCAAGAGCCACTTACTCTGGATTTGCACAACCTCCTTCCTTTAAGTCAAGGGGTCCTGGGAGCTTAGTGCGTGAATTGTCCCACTGCTAACTGGAAGGTTGGTGGTTCAGGCTCAAAGGAGAAAGATGAGGCAGTCTGATTGATTAAAGATTGTCAGCCTCAAATACCCTACAAGGGAAGTTCTACTCTGTTCTATAGGTAACTATGAGTCAGAATCAACTTCCTGACATTGGGTTTGTTTTATTTTGGTAATTTAAACTTCCCATATTCTGCACTATGGATATTTCAGGTCAGATGATTCTCTGTTGTCAGGGGCTGTTTTTTGTTTGTTTTGGCCATGATAAGATGTTCTGCAGCATGCAGTTCCATCTACCATACGACAGAAGCATACCTTCCCCTTCCCTCAGTATGACAACTGAAATAGACTCCTGCCTTGCTTAATGCCCCCTCCAGGATAAAATTGCCCTGGGTGGAGAATCACAGTTTTAAATATATATTGCTAGTGAAGATCAGAATTATTCACACCCAAGCCACAAGCTGGAATACTGATTGCCATCAGTTAGTAACTGACTCCTTTGAAAATAGATTAAGGGCAGAACCATGGGCTTAGGTTTTGACTGAAGATGAACTTCCCAATTCAAACTTTGAAGTTGAAAAAAGTTGAAAAAATTCTAAACATATCAGTTCATTAGAAAATTTTGTGACAACATATTTAACAATCAATTGGCTCCACATTCAGAAAGCTGAAATCTTTCATCATGATACTCCTCTACATTTGTAATTTACCCAGAAACTCTCTGTCCTTCATGCATGTTGTGTTTAAACCATTAATGCACTGTGTTGTGAATCTGTGTATTTGTGTATGCAAATAGATCATCTAGAGCTATAAATCAAAATGCTGACATGTATTTACATTTCAGTCAGGGAATGTGTATACATTACTCTGGAGAGGTTAGCTAAACCATGGTGTGCTTGGGGAAAATTTTTAACATAAGCAAATGCTAAACTCAGTTCCATTTCTTTACAAAGTCATACCCACATTTACTAGTTAAATAGAAATGCCTTATGTTTTGGAAAGTTGGTAAGTGGTTCAAC